TTTTGGCTATAGGTGAAGCAAAAATTAGAGATAAAACACTTGGTGTTATAAGGTATATTGTAGTAACCGAAAGGATCTGGGTTGGGCCTATTTGGGCTCACTTAATTAGCCTAAAGAGGAGTTAGTATGCCAAACGATAGCTATCATCAGGGAATGTATGGTAATAAATACAAGCTGCAGAAAGTAACTATCAAAATCAAAAGGGTGCAACCAGAAATTAACCGTCAAATTCAAAAAGGTGCAATCATGACCGTCAGATGGAATTAATCGTGGCCGTTCAGGCTAGTACTCGTACCAATATATCTAGTCATACTTGTGTAAATTTTTGTTATTTTGTTGTATTTACTATCGAGGTGCTACCAAAACTCCAACATAGTTAGTGAAATTACCGAGCTCCTACCTGCTACATTCTTAGGAAAATCACCGTTAAGTTCAACACAATCAAGATTAGGTAACTTATGAGTTCTTCTACTTCTGATACTGGTGAAGGGTCTTATTCTCCTCTTACTCTATCTGACTTAGATTTAAGTCCTCTTAAAGAGGTTAGGTTTAGAAGTGAAAGTGACATAAAACATGAGTTAAAATTTATTGAAGATCCTGACTACATCCCACCTTCTACTCCACACAGCGAAAGCTACAAAACAGAAGACATGTCTTCAAAGGAAACTATAAGTGTTGGAGGAAGTGAGGAGGTTAGGGCTAGGGAGCATGAGCAGGAGAATGTAGAAATGGAGTCATCTAGGTTGGAGATAGCTAAAGAAGAGGTAAGGGAGGAATAAGGTATTCTTTCGAACATTTTAGAAGTTGAGAGTGGCTGAGGTAAGTGCTATAACGAGTTAGCAAATATTGTCTCTAAGGTAAATGAATATGAAATTGAGTGGAATAGTAGGGTAGTTTAGCTCACTTGATTGATACATATGATATTCAACCACAAGTGTTGATTAGGCCAGTTGGTGCTGAAGAAAGAGCGTGCTTACCACCCTAGGACCACTAGATGCCTATTTATGCTCATTATTTAGCAGCTAGGCTAAGGTTCCCCATTCCTAAACTGTTAGTAGGGTTGCTATTAGACTACCATATAGGTTTAATGCAACTTGTCCCCAATTAATGCAATCCAGGTTGAGGCGCTTTTGTTCCAAATGACGTCGTTTTTAGTTTTGGGTAGGGTCCACATCATCCAAATAGAAGCATTAGTATGTCCGTATAATGGGCATTTCCGTCTACAGTAATTGTACCAGTTGTGGGGTGTTGGTCTGATCCATTCCGACTAATTACAGGGGTATGTGTGATGCAACTCGTGATTCATAACCCAGCCCAACAATTTTTTTATTCACTTAACCATCTTTTTTCTTATTAATTCGAAAAAAAAAAAAGAAGGAAAAAACAGGGCGTGAGATAAGATTGAAGCATGATGATTTTGAGAATAGCAAGTGCAGTCCGTTGCACTACAACATTTTCTATTAAAAATGACTATATTCTGTCATTGAGTTGCATTATTTTTTTTCCTAGAATTTTGAAATAAGAATATAATATTCATATAATTAAGGAAAAATGCATATTAGTTGGTCCTATCTCTTAAAAGATTAGAAGTTTTAGAACTCAAAACTATATAGTTTTAATAAATACCGTCACATGTTTTTAGTGTCAATTTAAGCAAACAATACATTGAGATGCTTGCTCTTCT